GTGTTGGGTTGACGGTTGGACTCGATGATCTTAGAGGTCTTTTCCAACCTCAATGATTCTATGATTCTATGATTCATCTGACTGCATCTCGTCTATAGCCACTTTACGACTTCACCTATTTCTCCTGTTCTACAGCTTCTTTCACAGCTTTATCAGAAAAACAACCCACTTTTTAAAAAAACCTGTGTTTTCAAAAAATCACTAAGGAGGAGACATGGCAGTTGTAAATACTTTTCACTTATTTTTAGGGTACTACATCTCCAAAAGAACTCGTGTTCATTTTTTCTCCACTGATCCCAGGATTTTCAAGTATGCAACTCCCAGTGAAGTCAAGGGGAGTTTTATCACCAACTTCAGAGCAAAAAAAACTTGCCTATCATAGGGCAACCTCAGTATGAGGGCTAAACTCAAACATGCAAGTGGATCCAACGCACATGCAGGTGTCCAACAGCTGAAATGATCTCTCATTTTCTTTCTGTGATGATGTATCATGGCCTAAACCCTGCTTTTATTCACACCTGAGTAAGTTTGAAGTAACTCCAAAACACTACTTCATAGCATTACTTATGACATAACAGCCCTTCATGTGAATGAAAGACATGCAGCAAGTGCTTCTCCCCCCGCCCAGTGGAGAACCACCAAGTTAAGTTACACAGTCATGCACAGTACCTGTCTGAACCAAGATTTACACCTGTATCATATGCTCTTGCTACCAGAATCATGGAAGGTCGGTCTCCAGCTTCTGCTGCTCTCAGCAAGTAATCAAATCCTTTATTTCTGTTCTCCCTTGTGTCCTGGTAAAACAAATAAAACCTTTAAAATGCATGTTTCTAAGTAAAACCATCTCTTCCTTCCTCTAACACTAAATGCAGTGTCTCCAAGTCTGTAATGGCTGCAAGTGTTTAGTATGTCTGAGAAACAGGCCCAGCCACAAGAAACTAAGAAGCTGAATAGCAAAGATCACTTCAAAACTAAGGAACTGGCAGATGAAGTTGCTAAACCACAATCCATTGTATTTGAGAAGTCATGGCAGTCTGGTGAAGCTCCCACTGACTGGAAAAGGGGAAACATAACCCCCATTTTTAAACAGGGAAAAAGGAAGACCTGGGGTACTACAGGCCAGTCAGTCTCACGTCTGTGCCTGGGAAGATCATGGAACAGATCCTCCTGGAAGCTATGCTAAGGCACATGGAGGACAGGGAGGTGATTCAAGACAGCCAGCATGGCTTCACCAAGGGCAAGTCCTGCCTGACTAACCTAGTGGCCTTCTACAATGGAGTGACTA